TGAGATTTTAATTGATAACATTAGATTTTTGCTTGTTACGTAAAAAGCATCATCTATAGCTTGCTATAATCCAGAGTAAAAGAAAACTATAAAATGACAAAATAAATAATTGGTATGGGAGAACATCGAACCAACAAAACCTGACCATTTTGTTCTGGTAATAAACTATGATTTCTGGTACAAAATGAAAAAGTAAAACAAAAAAAATAGACATTTTCTAAATTTTCAAAATTTTCAAAACTTTTTTACCACAGTTAATAAATAACAATTGAAAAAACTTTTATATAGAATGAATAACAACATAAACTTCAAGTTATAAACATTACCTTACAAATAAATAAAACATAAAAATAATTGTCAGTTATATGATACATGTGCGGAAACCTAGATAAATATTTAGTTTCTTAATCTTTAATAACAAAATCAAATTCAGGATCTGCTGAAAACTTGACATTCTTAAGACATTCAGTCTACTAAAATAAAAAAGGTAGAATACTTTTTACATTTTTAACATGTTTTAACAAAGTCAAATGGAAAATTACAAAGGTTTTTAAAAATACTTATAATTGAGATAAATTCTTTTTTTCTTTTAATCTATAAAATGTTTTTAATGCTTTTAATTGCCTATCTCTCAGAAAGTACGTAGAACCAAAAACCAAAACACGGAATTTCTAGCTTATAGTTAACGACTATTATACTGCAAATGAGGTTTTTACTAAATTGTAAGAACGGACGGTATTTCGTCTCTGGTGAAGTACGATAACTAAAACATTATTCACTTGTGACAGACGGTCTATGTAAACTTTGTAATCCAGTACAATCGCTCAGCCTGAAACTCCTCTAAGACAAGACGACTATCTTAGTTCTAGCAAGAATGTTTGTTTTTGCTTTTCGCGCAAAGCTACACGAGGGCTATCTGCGCTAGTCATCCCTAATTTAGCAGTGTAAGACTAGAGGGAAGGCAGCTAGTCATCACCACCCACCGCCAATTCTTGGGCTACTCTTTTATCAACGAATAGTGGGATCGACCTTAATTTATAACGCTGCCACGGCTGAAAGGGCGAGTATGTTTGGTGGGACGGGGGATTCGAACCCGCGAACCTCAGATTGCGAGTCGAGCGCCTTATCCACCTGGCCATTCTAGTAAGAATTTACAACGCTTTACTAATTAGGTAAGATAATCTGCAGTAAGAAATTAATAATGACGAGTTTGACAACGAAAATGAATGATTATTTTGCTGGAAACATTCTCTTTAAAGCCCTGAACCAACACACTTATAACAACTAATAAATTACCAATTAATATCAAAAGCACAGCAATATGACTGTTGAACTTTTTATAGCGGCTACTATCAAAATATATGTTATTGATATAAAACATGCGCATTACCTAATTCTAAACTAAATTAACAGTAGAAATACTAACTATTAATAATAACTAAGATAGAATTAATTTATTTACAGTATACGTACCTGTTTTTATTTTGATTAGCCTTTAGTATCATTTAATCAATGTGTAAATAATTATGAAAATTAGATATAAGGATTACACAAGAAGTCATTTTTTTAGTTTGGGGTTATTTTTATCAGGTTGTTACTGTCACTAATTGAATTAAAATAAAATGTTATCGACATTTTAACTTAAAACTACAAAATATCAATATAGTTGGCACTTGACATTTGAATAAGAGTTCCAATCCTTTGCTTTTATTGCGAATGAGCTTTCACTGTTCATTCTACTAGTTTGTATTTTCATGTTATAGATCCTTAAAGTATGATAACCAATGTCCTCGAACAAAACCCAAAAGTCCTAGCTATTTTCATGTTCTAGACCCTTAAAGTATGATAACCAATGTCCTCGAACAAAACCCAAAAGTCCTAGCTATTTTCATGTTTTAGACCCTTAAAGTATGATAACCAATGTCCTCGAATAAAACCCAAAAGTCCTAGCTGTTGAAAACATTTCTTAATTTAGCTATCATACATTACTAAAAGGAGCTCAATGTTACATTTATACGTTTATCCTGAATTGTCTCACTTGATTCTGTTTTCATATTTTGAGATATTTAACTTTTGTAGCTAGTCTTGTTAGCCGCTAGGTGAAGACGACCTTTCATATTATTTGCCTTACATGTTTTTGTTTATATTTTTGTTATTCTTCGTAATTTGTACTCGTAGTTCAGAGAAATGCGCTTTCGTATATAACTTTATTAGCCGCAAGGTGAGGATGACCTAATTACTTGGAAACGTTTTCTTTCTTTCTCTTTTTGTGAAAGTAAATTGTGATAAAAGTACAACAGGAGTGGATCCAGTATTCATAGGGGAGGTCCAAATGAATGGATATCGGATTTAACGAAGAGGGAAAAATTGAGAGGGGGCGTATCCCCTTCTGAAAAGCTGAAGCCTTTATGATATATGATTTCTCACTAAAACCGGTTCCTGACACTTTCCATTAATTTTTGCCGGTCACTCCCATATGCAAATTAGCAACAAGAAATTTTATTGACCAGTACTTTCTGATATCATCGAGAACATCTCTTCCTTCAGTTGTGGGGCTGAATTTTACAATCAAGATCTTGGAGTAACCTCCGAAATCAACTTGTATCAAGCACTGTATACAAAATGAATGACCTAGAGAGAAAGATGGAAGGTTTAAAAGTCATACCTATGAAAAGGGCTTCTTCAAAGATCTGTGGTGTCTTTTAAATCGATCTTAATATTTTACACATCACCGGTGATCCACTTTCTATACAGGAATATGATACAAGAAAACGAATAAATAATTTCCCCACTACTTGCATCTCTTTAATTTAATTTATTGATTTTTCCTTTGGTTTGGTCTGCGGACTTACAACTCTAGAATCCGGGTTTCGATACCCGTGGTTGTCAGAGCACAGACAGCCCATTGTGTAGCTTTATGCTTAATTACAAACAAACAAATAAACCTTTGGTTTGTTTTTGCATTGAAAAAAGGGGTCTGATCACTTAAGACCCATTTTTCTGGATTCGCCCCTGTACAGTATTAATAAAAATAAAAAGGGGTGTTTCAAAAATAGGCAGTTTCTTAACTGAAACAACAACTCTTTGAAAATATACACGAATACATAGAATATCATATTAACAATTATATGACTGAAAATATTCCTGTCCAAGTTGATTTGGAGTCTTCGGTTAATCACATCCGACAAGTTTCAGTTTTGCAAACGTGTTCTTAACAAAAGGTGTCATCAGAATTTAAATCACATTTAAAGTGTCTCTGAAATATCTAAAATACAATAAGTAATTATGAATACATCTTGAAATTTTGAAATATCGTCTGCAGAATATTATTAAATAAAAGTCTAGAGGGGACGCTATTGTATGACCTAATTAAGCCTATAATAAAATATAGAACAACGTAAAGATGCACCTTAATGACTTTTCTATCGGATGCAAATACTGTTGAAACACAGCTTATCTTTTAAAGAGGTTCTCGCGCAAGTTCTCAACCGTTAAACATTAAAACGTAATTGTTGTTGTTTTTTTACTAAAATCCAACGTCTTTTGGTAAGCTGTACTACTGAACTGTATAGAAAATATAGCTGCTCACTAAATGTGGCAGTTTTGTTGCAACGTGAGAAAAGTCCATGATAAAACTTGACATAATCTGTGTGTTAGCACACTCAGTGGAAATAATGGAAAAAAACCAACAGGTAAAACTACTGACGATGAGCTGAAAATTCTTCTAAGATCAGTTTTATACTATTTATTAACTAATTGATTACGGTCGGGCTGCTTTGTCAAAGTTGAATTCAATATCTGTATGATGCATTTCAAAGTAATCAAATACACGTAGATAAAATTATATCGAATTCGAAATCATTTTTACTTTACATTAATTATGAACATAGATTTCGAAGATAGATGTATATAATGTTAAAATATAGGAAAACAAAATATTTATTGTTATAATGACCGTAGATTTTATAGGACCATGTGAGAACGAGCTTTTTTAGAATAGTACTTCATTTAATTCATTTACTGAAAAAATCGTGCAAACCAAAATAATATATTTGAATACACGTAAACCTTTGAATATTATATAGACACTTCTAAGTATTTTAGTAGTTTCTTTGTAGTTATGCACAAAGCTGCACAATGGGCTATCTGTGCTCTTCCCACCATGGGTATCGAAACCTGGTTTTTAGCGTTGTAAGTCGGCAGACATGCCGCTGTGCCACTTGGGGGGGGGGGGCATTTTTTTAGTAGTTACAAGTTTAATTTTTAATAGATGTGATTGTATATT